CAAATGGGAAATGATAGGAAAGACCTTTTTATTCTCTTTAACGTGATTTCCACCGTGAAGTTATTGGAGGTGGGAGTTTAGTCCATTTCGAATGAGAAACTCCCTGGAATTGTAGTGAGTATGATGGTTCATGCACCAGACGCGAGAGGGCGTCACGAGCCGGTCAATTCTTCACGCGTAAGGAAATAAATGTGTCGTATTTGAGCGATCTCGATTTCATGGAAGATTTCGCCCCCCTCCCAAAAAAAAAAAAATCAGCCTGAATGCCATCTCATGTGCTAAATTGCGGATTTTCCGAGTTTGCACTACGAGCTGCGGTTGGCAGAAAAAGTGCAAAATGAGTTGGATCGTGACTCAGGTTGCACGAGATGAAGATGCTGGAGGATGCGGTTAAAGAGCAAAAAAGAAATATATTATGTATATCTTTCCAGAAAAAATTTCGAAAAGGATAAAAGGATAATTCTCCTTTTTCCGAACCTTCTCAGCAAATCGATTTTGAAATTACTGCTCGAACGTGACTCTGACCAGAGACGTGCAGAAATTCCGAAACTCGGCGAGTCGGAGGATGTTTTGCTCTTAAAGCAACGGATGATAATTGTCTTTTTTTTATGGCACGGCAGTGGGAGGAGCAATGGCGTCGATCCGTCGGGGAAATCCGGGAAGGGGGTCGACCTTCGATGCGAGGACGATCGTCCTAGTTAGATTTGATGAGTTGTTGTGACGGAGAAAGTCGGCGGTCGAGTGGGATAGGAGAGGTAAACTCGTTTCTCCTCCCATTTCTCACGGCGAACGTGTCTCTGCTTCACCACGAACACGTGCGCCGTGAGAGCACGCCCTCCTTCGCGTCACTCGTCTCTCGGTCCGCGCAGGCCGGTCTGCGCGAGTCGGTCGGTGCAGGCCAGCCTGTGCAGGCCAGTCTGTGCACACGGACTGGATTGGGGTGAGGGGGTTGCCGTGTTGTGGTGTCGGTGCGGTGCTTCGACCATGACGGTGACTTACACGGCCGAGGTCACCACTGTCCGTCCGTTCGGCAATTTCTGGCGGATGCTCTTCAGGTAAAAGTTTCCCATGATCGTCATCCTTCGGCGACGCGGTGACTCCCATGAAACACGCCACCGTTTCCACAGAAACGATTTCAAATTCGTTAACGTAGCATTTCGTTCTCGGTGGGTCTCGCGTTCTCACGTTGCGCGCATCTCCCATGACAGGCGTGAAACGGTCGATACGCTCGGTACGTCTCACGAAGGACCGATGTTAATACCGCCGGCGCCGAGCCAGGAACGGGCGCTTACAGTCGCGAGCAAATGATAGGTGGGGGGGGTTCTCTTCGACATCTGTTGGAGAAAGACGCAATGAAACTTGCTCGTTCGTCCATGAGGCGTCTGAACCGGGGCAGTTTGCCGTCGTGGCCGTGACCGATGCCAGTGGACAATCGTAATATGCGAAACGAAGACCGAAAATACTCCCTCTCGCAGACGAGTTTCCCGTTGCCATCGTAACCGATGAAGCTACTTTACTTCTGCGTCGCTCGAAGGCATGCAACTCCAAATGGGAAAGATCCATTTGGGCAGGGGATGGACGGTGGATAAGGATGAGGGTGGATGAGGATGGATGATGGTGTGACGTGCGTTTCTGCCAGGAGCTATTTACGCTGAGTCATATGGGATTCCCTTCGTTCGTTATCTGGGAGCCTTATAAAGTCACGACCGGGCGTTGTTATGCCGCTCGGGCATCAGGACAGACGGCGCCGCAACGTGAGTCTATGAAATGCGCTCACGAACGAGTTTACCGTAACACGACTTCGACTGGCATGACTCGTACCGGTCATAAGAATTACGCTTCGTTTATGAAACGAAGCGTAAACGGGATTAATGAATAAAATTTAGTCACAGAATCTGCGCGACGGGAGGAAAGAAAGCACCGATCTCCGCGATTCCCCTTCTACTTTATTAACGAGACAGACGCTCTACCGACCGCTTCCTTCAAAGATCAATCTTTCCCCGTCATCGCGTACTCAAAAATCGATATCAAACCGTTTCGTCGAAATCCTTCGATCTTCATTTCGACCCCTTTGAATTTTGTTCCCCCTTTGCAGATGGCGGGGCTCCATCTACAAGCTGGTCTGGCAGGACCTCCTCGTCTTCCTCGCCGCCTTCTACGCCGTCAACTTCACCTACCGGCTCGGGCTCTCGCGGGAGCGACGGCTGTGAGGATCGAATCCGATCCAGACGGGAAAATCCATGGGTTTACCTTTCTGTAGTCCCTCGGTTTCAGGGTTTTCGAGTACGTGTCGAGGATCTTCAACGATTTCCTGAGCTTGGTCCCCATGGCGTTCGTGCTCGGCTTCTACGTCTCGCTCGTCATGAAGCGTTTCTGGGATCAGTGGTGGAAGATCCCCCGGCCGGATGCCACGATGGTCAATCTCGTCGGATACTTTCAAAAGGACGTACGTCTGTTGTATGACCACCTTCGCATTATATTGGAATTATTATCTTATATATTTTTGTTATTTTTATTATTAACCCTTTCTAGGCGACGAAGCCAAATAGCATCATTCTTTATAAAATGCCCTCAGAACCATTTAGTGAGGAGAATTCATACAATTCTGTAGTCAACGGATAGCGTTTGAAGCGCTCTTTCTAATGTGGATGTGCATTCAAGTGGTTTGACTAGTTGAGAGTACACACATATCTGTGAAAGTGATTGTGGCATCAACTGGAGAACTGTTTGAGAATCACAAAATACTTACGTATTTCGTGATTCACTGTTTATTTTGGTTTTTTTTTAAATATGATCGGTTGGGAAAATTTATGAGTAAATAATGATTGAGAGAATTTATTTGTAGCAACTTTTAGACCGAAATTGCAAACAGAGCCTCTTGATAAGGCGGATGATGCCATATGGCATCAATGTCTGCATTTTTGAAATAAATAAATAAATTTGTGAAATTCTTTTTGTTATGGTATGAACCATAACTACCCTATGATTTCGATATGCATTTCTTGCGGCGTATTTCGTAACTCAGCCCTGAAAGGGTTAATATTATAATATTATCAAGTACATATGTATTTTTAATCATTTATGATTACGCGTAAATGATCTTAGAATGAGAGAAGTCGGCTGATGAGGAGAACTCTGGCTCGTTACTTGAACCTGAGCTACGTCATGGCCATGTCCGGGGTTTCTCCGAGGGTCAAGAGAAGGTTTCCGACCTTGCAGCATCTCGTCGAAGTCGGTGAGGAAACCGGCGACGAAGACGTCGCGACGACCCAAAATGCACCGTCGAGATGTCTCCGCAGGGATGCTAGAAGCGGGGGAGCTGCCGATCCTGACGGGCCTGGGCGAGAAGTACAAGGGGAACCTGTTCTGGGTGCCGATCGTGTGGTGCATGACGATCGCGAAGAAGGCGCTGGACGAGGAGCTGGCCGATAGCGAGCGGGGATACACGCAGACGGTGCGATGCCTCGACGAGTTCCGCGAAGGCGCGAGGAAGGTCCTGGAATACGACCGGATTTCCATTCCCCTCGTCTACACCCAGGTCTCCTTACCATCGCGTTTCCCCCGATGCTCACAAGGAACATTCACGAAATGTGACGCTCCGATTCTAACCAAAATTTGTACAAACGCAGTACGTAATTATTAAATACCGTATATCAAATTTCACGTACCCTCGTGGCCCAAGGACTGATTTATTAAATTTCGAAAGTTATGAGTTGCAATAATGAAAATCAATATAAAAATGGGAGAAACAAAGGCGTAGCTCACAATGGGAGCATCTTATGAATGTGGCCACATCACAAACGCCATCACGTATTAATTTTCGACAGTTCTATCGAAGGATGTCCATTTTGAAGCAATATTGAACTAGCATGATATGTGATTAGGGCCTCCGATCCATATATCCAGCTTGATTTATATTCAAATTCATTCTCGAATTCATCCCCTTCGACACACGACTTCAAAGTCTCTGAAATAAAACGGGATCAGTGATGGAATAATTTTTAAATATTATTTTAACGTTTAAAAAATTTACCAGTTAATTTTGCTGCCAAATCGACTTCGACATCTGATGGCACTGATGTAGAGGTCCAATAGGGAAATTTAGCCTCCAAGAGCAAAAGAACAGTGAGCTGATTGATCAACATGATGATTCCCAGAAACAGAACCAGCAAAACACCAAGACTGTGGAAAAATGTGGACCATTAGGATAAGGGGTCGTCTGAAGGAAGCAACAAGGGCACGTGAAAGTTTATTTACAGTGTTTAATAATTATGCACTGCATTTGTACAAATTTTGGTTAAAATCGGAGCGTCACACTTCGTGAATATTCCTTGTCGGTCGAAAATGATCGAATCGATCCCGTTCGAACGCCGAGGGCGGAAAAGGTGGTGTCCTGGGCGACGTACTCCTACTTCGTGGCCGCGATCGTGGGTCGGCAGCACGTGCAGCCCGAGAACGACGGAAGCGATGTCGACTTGTATATCCCTATTTTCACTCTTCTGGAGGTAATTCTATTCATGGATATTGTTATAAACGTATTTTATACATAATTTTACCTCACGAGCGCGCATCGATCCATCCGACCGGAGGATTTCCGGATGAACTCAGATGCTTCTCGATCCTCGTTCTCAGTTCTTCTTCTACGTGGGGTGGCTGAAGGTAGCAGAGACCCTGATCAACCCCTTCGGAGACGACGACGACGACTTCGAGCTGAACGGGCTCGCCGACAGACACCTGCAGGTGAGCACCACACCCCGACCGCGATGCTCGGGGAGTTCCGGGCAAGAGAGGAAACGCTGTGGACGGCACTTGCACCATTTAGTTTGCTGTTACGGTGGCGTAAATTTCGTGGCAGTAGTGCCAGACCTTAGCGAGACTAGTGTTTTTTTTTTCCACTCAGACGTCATTCCGCTGGTTGCACGGGTAGTCACGCCGGAAACCATCGAAGAATGCTGGACCTTTGCCATTTTTTCGTATTTGATATGTAGGCTTTTGCGTGATGACGCCTGGGTGGAATGGATCCGAAATCCGAGGGTAGTAGGGAAGCGGAGACAGAAAAACAAGTGGATCCCTGGAATGGCGTCTAGGCGTGTAGAGAAAAAAAAAAATCCACGATATGCGTTGCAACGACACAAATTCTACTCGATGGGTCGAGTCCCGTCTTAGCATAGCCATTGTCCTTCGGGGCGTTTTTGGTCGCGATCGACGAAGCATTCGATGGACCATCCTTCTTCCCTGCAATCTCCCAAGGAATGAACTTTGAAACTTCCACGAGAAAAACGGCTCCTGCTAGGGCGCTGGGCGGAATGCTGCGACTTCTCACGTTTTCGAGTAACTGGTGAAAGTGAGTGTGAATTCAATCGTTGAGACCTAAATTGCGATGAGATTGCGGGTTATGAGTTTTTTCCCTCTGAAAACTGAGCGGCCAACTTTAGTTAATCTTGAAAGATTGTCCCTGTAAAACAGGGTGGTCTTGTTACATACTGTCCCTATGATAACAGGAGAAGACATTGTTCATGAGACAGCCAGCACGTCCTATGCGAAATGAAGACGCTGTCCGCGTGTTATCAATGACAGCTCCCTGCCTGTCAGAGACGTGGTGCCGGATGATGGTGCCATTAATGCTCTCTTCAAAGCTGATAATTGAGGTTCATAAGCAGGTTTTTAAACGCCCTTAAGCCCGAAAGGAATAGAGATTAGAAAGGGACACATGTGTACCTTATTTCGCTTCTGTACCTTTTCAACGAACGTATTTTACGACATACGTTTGTACCTCATAACGTACAACATATGTACCTCACTGTAAGTTTCTGCTTTGCTGTGCATGTACCGCTAAAACCTTGCTACGAAATCTTTGGTTGGAAAGAAAGTCTTGCAACACTTTCTAAAACTATTTATAAAAATTTTCAACGGAATGATGGGCGGGGCTTGCATTTGTATATGCTGGAATGTCCTCGAAGCTTCTGCCCTCGGGGTATATAAGGCAGCTTCTGCCATTAGTTGGCAGCCATGGCTCCGATCGAACAAGAAACTCTTCGCCCAATCGTCTACTACGAGTTCCTCCAAGGACACTCTGCGAGAGCCGCCCCGGACAACATCTGCGCTGCATTCAAGGGCAACGTCGTCCACTATTACACGGTGTCTCGATGGTTCAA